TGTGTGTGTGTGTGTGTGTGTGTGTGTGTGTGTGTGTGTGTGTGTGTGTTTTGCCTGCATTGATGTATGCATACCACATACATGTCCCACCAAGGTCAGAGGAGGGCATTGGATCCCCTGGGATGTGAGCCGACATGTGGTGCTGGGAATTGAGCAGCGGTGTTCATACCCACCAAACCTGCTAACCTCCAGCCTCAGGCCTCAGCTTCTTTGCCAGGATTATAAATCCTCCTTTTAGAAGCTTTTTTTTTTTTTTTTCCAAAGAATATTTTGGGGAATCCCAATATGTCAAATGTATAAAAGCCAAGCTGCCATGAGCAGTTTGAAAGCCATATGCCTGGTGTCAGTCCCTGTTTGAGAGTCAAGAGTCTAGGTTCCTGTTGTCTCCTTTGTGATTGACACAAAACCGTAACTATGGCTGAGCGGCTAACATTTCAGTAGTTTCCAGTTTTATGAAGATTATGCTCTTATAGAGCAAACTGTTGCATCAGATCTCCTTCAAGAAGTGTAGTGTTTGGATTAAACACGTATATTTTCAAAGGAAAAGTAACCTTGATTGAAAAAAATTACTGCCTTGAGTGAGGGGTGTGTGGTTCAGTGGTAGATCTCTTCCCAGGTACCAGGTCCTGGATTTGATCTACAAAACTGTTTATGTTTTTGAGACAGGGTGTTTTGTTGTTGTTTTAATGTGTTTGGGCTGTCCTGGAGCTTACCATGTAGACCAGTCTGGCCTTGAACTAACAGAGATCCAGTTACCTCTCGTGTTGGCAAATTTCCTTAGCTATCTTATTTGGGCTCTTAAACCTCTATCTCCCCAACCCCACAATACTAGGTAGGAGAGAAAGAAGGTTAGATGGGAAAGGGGATATAGACCTCTTTAGACTACTTCCTGCTGATCAGGAACATAGAGTTCCTTGAGCTAGTCCAGTCTTTGCCATTAGTATATCTCCAACTTTTTCTTGTCAAAACACAACAACCAGGAGCAGCAGCCCTGTTTCTCTCTGGGCTCTGGCATCTATACCCTCTCAAGAGTACCCAGAACTTCAGATGTTATCAGTAGCTGGCAAAGATCACGCCCCTGCTAGTGCATGAGACAAATCATATTCACCTGCTGTGAAGCAGCCTCATATCTCATACCTGGAATTTAAAGCAAAAACATATTTGTATAATATAACTGGGTTTTTTAAGAAACCAAAACTCTGACTATACACTGCCTCCTGAGTGCTGGGATTAAAGGCATGCACCATCATACCCAGCACAGTGTTTTCTTTCTTTCTTTCTTTCTTTCTTTCTTTCTTTCTTTCTTTCTTTCTTTCT